ACACACACACACACACACACACACACTCACTCACACACACACACAAAAACTGAGACATATATTATGCAAACGCTATCTGACAGGGATATAAAGTTTTGAAGACTTCCATATTATACTGTATATATAACACATGTATGCATTTTATGCAAGAGAGAAATGAGCCGGAAAAAAAAGGTCAACGAATCAAAAATAGGACTCAAGATACTTTTATGAAATTTTCTTCATGTTAATTTTAAGACTTTTGTCAAGAGGTCAAGGCTGGGTAAGTTTGTAGCATTACTCAGACTCATGACGTTAGTAGCCGAGTGGTTAGGCTACCGGACTCGTTATCATGAGGTTGCAGGTTCGGGGGTTAGAACCTTAGGCCCAATGTCATGTCATTGGAAAGGAACATTACTCAGATTTTCCTCACTTCCCCCAGGTGGGAATGGGTATCCGGCCACAAACAGCCAAAGATCTGGTCAGTATGTTAGTGTTTTAACTAACACCTACAGAATGGCAGCTCACACTGTATGCAGGAAGTTGAGACTGTTTCAGAATGCTATCAGGTCTGCTGGGGTAATAAAATAGATTGTACTAAAGCGCATGGACCTTGCTGTTGAGCGGGAATTTGCACAATGCAAATATTATCTATGATTATTATCTATTCAAGTTTGAGGTGGACTTGCTGGATCATTTTTTTTTTCTGGCTGATAAAATCTTTTCTTTGCCCGTAAGAACAGACATTTCAAAGGCAATTATGTGCTGGTAAAGGATTAATATAAAATTATCTGTTTTTTGTTGTTGTTGGGTGTTTTTTGTTTGTAATAGTTTATTTTTCAGTTGTTGTTGTTTTGGGGGTTGTTTGGTGCTGTTTTGTTCTGTTTTATGGAGCACTTTTTAAATTTGGGGTTGTTAGGCGGAGGGGTAAACTTGTGATTTCTCATATATGTAATTGAATGTGATTGGAATTTTATTTGGACTACACCGTATTGCCAGACCCTAGTTTTAAACCCCCTTTTTTCCCAGCAAACATCGCAAAATTTTACTGTGCTAACAAAGCCTTCTATTTATTTATTTAATAGTTCCTTTCTGTTTTCTCAGTTAGACACTTGTTCACTCTACTGTTAGCAGCTTTTGTTCAACTCCTTGTGAAGGAAATTCTGAACCTATAAAAAATCAAGGATTAATTAAGGTTAATCAAGGGAGACATATTATATTAGGTAGTATATCTTGCCCCCTGAGATAACCTGAACTACGTTGAAAATTGCTTGATACTGAAAGGCAGACCGAATCATCCTTGCTCTTGTTTGTTTCAGTATGTCCCAACCCACTACACCCAAGTGTACCAGGCCAGCCCACAGGGAGCGGTGCTACAGCCCGTCAGTGTACCCATAGATGTAAGTATTATATCATGAGCTGTTTCATTTCATGTACAAGAAGTACATCAATGCAATAACGGTGTACCCATAGATGTAAGTAATAGATTCTATATCATGATCTGTTTCATTTTCTTTTGAGTAAACATGACACAATGGTGGTGTACCCATAGATGTAAATATTGTAATCATAATCTTTCTTTTTTTTTTTGAGTAAACAGAAGAACATAGAGTTTTGAGTGAACAGAAGCACACCGACACAATGATGGTGTACCATAGGTGTAAATATTATATCATGAGCTGTTTCATTTTCTTTTGAATATACAGAAGCACATCGATACAACAAAGGTGTACCCATAGATATAAGTATTATATCATCATCTGTTTCATTTTCTTTTTAGTTAAGAGAAGGACATCAACACTACTCTCATACTAGTATAGTGCAAGGAAGAATTAGGGCAAATAAACGAAAACAACTAAAGGAAAGAAAAGAAGTAGGACCTGCCAGTGGCACCCTCTAACGACCTACTGTTTTGTTTTCACTGTTTTTCTGAAAGGGTAATGAAAAAAATAAATGTGTAATGTATGGCTTGACCTGTTTGAATCCACTTGGTCAGTATGACTTTAGTGGGGTGTTTGGCAAGTGCTCTGGTGTGGTGTGCTCCTTCTTTCCTGTCAAACATCTATAGTAAAGTTCTTATCTCACCTTCTTCTTTATTGTGTATGTTACTCTCTTGTACATAACACTTCTAATTTTTGGCTCCTATAATTGTGTTGAAAGTGCCAGAAAACTCCTAGTAAAACTTAAGCATGAGATTCATGTTTTAAAACAGTGGTCTTTTAAGGTAGCCTACCATGCTGATTTTCTGTGAAAAAAATGTTTGTGAAGCAACAGCAATAAAAGTAACTGTCGAGTGAGGAAGAGGTGTAGTCAGAATGCAATGTAGGCCAACTATTTATGTGTTACTGTAGTATTGTAAGGGCTCACTGCCTGTACTTTTTCAGGGTTGAGCATTACATAAATGCTGTATACCATTATTATTATTATTATTATTATTATTATTATTATTATTATTATTATTATTATTATTATTATTATTTGTATAAAATGATTTTTGACCTCATTTTCAGGATCATACAGGTCTGGTAGATGACAGGACGCATCACCACTACACTGGCTACCCCTCACTACCCAAATAAAGTCATGTCTAGTCGTAGCTTTTCTTCATGTTGGTGAGGTGAGTTGGTGCGAGATTGTGCCATTTGCTCAGTTTATCATGTGTGGTTTTTAGGTCTTCGGTTTGATTTGCTCCTTCTTTACTATCAAACTTCTATCATCCTTTTAGCTCATCCTTCTTTTTAGTGTTTGTTATCACTTCTAATCTTCTGCGTTTATATGACATAATTGTGTTGCAAGTGCTGTAAAATTCTTACTAAAACAAACCCCATTTCAAACGGAAATTTCCATTGACATTGAATTGGAGATCTTGCCTCATAGGTTTTTAAATAGGTTTATTGCATGGAAACAACTTTTATCATGTCCGCCCTGCTAGGTTGTTTAGTCAAATCTTGTATGCCTAAGTTGATTGACGGTATAATCATGGTCAATTGCCACCCAGCTATTCAGATGTATAAAACCGAAAGTTTTGAATTTTAAAAAAATTTTAATTTCTTAATCCTCCAAGCATTCCAAACATGTCAGATACATCACACGACTTATAGGTGAAGTTTTTACACTTAATAAGTATGAAATATTAAAAGGCATGATATACTTAAAGAATATTGCAAGGAGGCTCTCTTGGCCTAGAGGTTAAGGTGTTCACCTCTCATTCAAAGGTCCTGGGTTCGAACCCTGGTAGCAACGGAAAAATTCTCTTTTCTAAAATTGTCTCCTTTTGCCTCCTTTTCTGCTCTCTAGCAAAGTTCTGTTATCTGTTTTCGTCTCCACTTTCTACCCCCACCTCTTCACCTCTTTTTCCCCCTCCTCTGGGCTCCTGACTCTTTCTGCAGCCTTTCTACTGCTTCTGCGTGACCCTTTCTTACTGCTGTCTTTCAGCCACACCCCTGATCTTTTGGTAGGAAAGATCTACACCTAGCCTTCTTGGACGAGGGTGAAAAATCTCTGAGATCCCATGTGCAAGTTGCGCCTGTTAAAAATCCCTTGGTGGTCTAAAATCGATAAGAGTAGGCTTCGACCGCCACTCGCGCAAAATTCCAAATTTCCTACCAATTCAAAATGTTTAATGTGTCCGGCGCGCTCATATTATGATCTTATGCAGCTGCGAGTGCCATAAAACACTTTCTTCCTCCCCCCCCCCCCCCCCCCAAATATGGCATCAATTGATAATCTACTAATTTGACCCTAGTGTCGATTATTTGGCGAATATCTGCATTTGTGGATTTCGAGAAGTAACTCATTTTGTCAGCGCCTCGCAAATAGTCTGTGGTGTCAGGGGAAACTATATGATTTCACTGTATTAATCCGGACAATACACGGAATAATATCAAGAGGTTGGTCCAGGATAGGGAAAGATGCAAAGTGTTTTCGTAGCTAGGGAATGACGATAACGATGTTGGAAATTGCTTGAGAACTGAAAACCCAGCAAATAAAGGCCATAAACATAATGAGTAATGTACATTTTCAGAAAGTAGACTGTCAATAGGAAGAAGAGATCATTTGTGAAGGAGCTGAAATGTTCGGCAATATTTTAAAAAATGAGATAGATGAACGAAAATAGCAACTCAGCAGCCGATTAATTCAGCAATGAATGAAACTTATCGCCAATAGAACATGCTGTCAATACTAGGCGGGTTAATAAATTGAATCGGTTACATAATATGCTCAAGAAATATTTTGTCAAAATTCGAATTCCAAATGTTGAAAGAAAAGAAAGAATAAGATACTTAAAGTAGCTTCAGTTGTTAAAAGAATTAAACAGTTTTTTCTATCTCCTTTAAAAATTTTGCTTTCTGGGCTTAAAGTATTTGAATAGCTTGCGGATATACACTTTCACTTACTGAAGTCTCTGTTGATCAGGAAAGAGTCCTTTAACCGTATAGATATCTACGTGTTCTTGTGCCCCATTGAAACTATTCAAATTGCTTCAGAGGCTGGTTGCTTTGACCCTGTCTTTCAGGCCTAGTTCATGCTGTGTATGATAGTCTTTCAAAGCAGAAAGAGGGAAATATTCAACAAAAATTCTTTCTGTATATAGGTTTTGATCTGCATCTTTTCTGTACAAGCAAGGAGCAAACAACCAAAGATGCTCAATCATGTACATGGTTATTCAAAGTAAAGATAAGATAATTTTTATTTTTACCTCAATCTCCAACTCTTACTTGTACTCTTTCACCTTTTCCATTCATCGCATCTATCTTTGTCTCTTTTTCTCGCGTTTTAAAAACTCTTTCTCCATCTACATTTACTGTCTGTATCTTTTTATTGATTACTTAATTCAAAGAGGAAATTGCAGCAAGCAAAGATTTTGGAAATTCATGCCACCTTTCATCTAATGGATGTGTGAGGCTTAAATCTCGTAACAATAGCAAATTACATTACGGTAGTGGTAAGAGAGCTTTACACTTTTGTATGTAGCTACAACCTTAGGATTTGTGCAGCTCACATGTCTATGGATTTGTGCAGCTCACATGTCTAAGACATACCTCAGATAAGAATAATATTGGAAAATGTCAGTTTACATGTATAAATGACTACAGAATTTAAGACTACTTTGTGAGAGTAACTTGCGGACAATCAGAGTTTCATGTCTTTCCTTTCTTTGCTCTTAGATAACAAGTAAAATTATCCACTTTTGTTTGAATAGTTACATCTTTTAAAAGACACATTTGTTGTAATTAGAGACTTTCTATCTGCAAAAGGGGTTCTCTTTTGCTGTACATTGGCTTGAAATACAGTGTATCACTGGCAAGTATCAGCCCCAACAGCTTTCAATATTGACCTACTGTCTTGAAATCATGGTTTGTTTCCACATGTTTTCAGAATTCCACTTCAGCTCATCCTTGGATGTCATGTGACTATCAAGCCGTCCAATCGTTGACATCAGAGACTTTTTGTTTTTCCCCCTGGAGTGGATGTTTGGCCTTCAGAAAGGAGGACAGTGGTGGCTTATCTCCCCCTGTTTCTCCTCTTAGAGGGGTCAGACCAAATAGGGCTTGATAGATTTGAAGCAGCATTCCCGAAAGCCAGGGAAACACCTCCACCCATCCCTCCCCTCCCATATGATGTCAGGCACTGGACATCATGCAACGGTCAACATACACTTTGTCTTTGTGCATAGTTTTTTCTTTGTCAAGCCTCATGTATTTTAAGATTGAGATAATTAATTATTTCTAGAGTGGCCAACAGTTTTCTCTTCACTTCACCCTGAAGAAGGATTTTGCTTCTGCTTGGTCTCGGTGAACAGATTAGCTGTTTTTAGCCATTGGTATTTTTAATGTTCAGTTTTCAAAAGATAGTTAAAGAAAATATTTTGATGTTATGTGTAGCCCTGGTGTGTTTTCACTTTTTTCATTTGGGGGTTTCTATAAGTTAACTTTGAAGTGAGTTGTTTTGTACAACATCTTAGGGCTTGTAAACAGATTGGTCAGCGCTTTATCTATGATGTTATGCAAAGGATTCAAAATATGACTTCTAACTGAAAGACAGGGTTTTTTTATGTTTGTAAGTTTCTGACTTAAAAATAGGTATTTGTTGTGGTGAAAATATTAAATATTTCATGCAATAGGACAGACACAATGGAGTGAGAGTGTTTTATTCCGAATAAAGTTTTCATTTTCAGAATTCACTTGCATTTACAAGCACCTTAATATTTTTCTTGTATTTATTTTGAAGAATGAAATGAATTTTTTTTTCTTTTAGATTTCATGTTTCAAGCAGTTACTTTTTTAAAGAACCTTGACCTCAATTTTACCAAAATTACTCTTTCCACTAATTTTAAATCAGACTCATTATAACTAGTAGCCTTTTTCAAGCAAACAACTTTTTCTTTTCAAATTAACTTGAATGGACATGTTTTTGTTATAATATTTTCCTGTTTGAAATACTGGAAAGAGAATCTTTACGTCTTCTGTTCGTACTTATGAGAAACATTCACTAAATACCATATGAATAAATCATGATAACATTTTCTAATGAAATAGAAACTAGTTTGAATCCATTGACATAGAAAAGCTCCCATAATAACAACTGTGCCTTCTTGATGGACTAGTAATGCCCAGTACTAAGAGTTTTTCCTCACTATGACTCATTTGGATATGAAGAAAGGTCCAATATAATGTAGACTGATTGTTTCTTCGCACTGTGCCTGAAAAAATTGAGGGTGAATACTTTATCTCCATTTAGTTCATTGAGGAAGCAGGCTACAGTTAGGGATGCATCCCAGAAGAAAGACAGAAATACATTTTACATGCAGGGTGTAGAGGCTAGGCTAACCACTATGCCACAGACACTGGTATTAGACCCGCAGCATGAGAGACTCTCACCTTTGACTGACAGTTACATCCTGCGGAGAGAGAGACACCTTTTTTGTCAGAGAATCTCAATTGTTTTACCAACTGTAATTTTTCTCTGAGATAAAGACACAAAGTTTGATGGTAAAACTATTTTTGCTTTGTACAGACTTACACTTCTTGTATTTGTTTCTGCTTTGTACAATGGAGGACGTGTTATGACTAGTCTTTTAATGTACATTTTCATCTCTCAATTTTTTCATGAGTAGATGAGTGAGAGTCCAATTGTGCCTTTACCTTGATTCTAATTGTTCATTGATTTTTTTCTTCATTTTGTCATTTGTACAGTGAGAACCAGATTTTTCTTTTTTTTTATCATCAATTTTATTGCCGTTAATTTTACTTCAGATCTTCCTGAATTTATTTTTATACTGACTTTGGCCACTTTTTGATTGAAACTTTATTACGACTGAATGCAAATTGACAATATGATAGCCCTGAATTTCATCTCATGTAGCTCATGTCATTTTTGCATCACTTTTTGCGAGTTTCAATATCATGGATTATGTTGTGTTTTGTATGTGTTTAGTATGTTTATATGTATATGTGTGAGTGATGCAACTGGAGAATGTGTACATGTGCAAATTTATGTTTGTGTGTTTCTTTGTGTGTGTATGTGTGTGTGTGTGTGTGTGTGTGTGTGTGTGTGTGTGTGTGAGAGAGAGAGAGAGAGAGAGAGAGAGAGAGAGAGAGAGAGAGAGAGAGAGAAATATATAGAGGGGGGAGGGGGAAGTGAGTGATTGAGAGCGCAATAGACTTACAGGGAGAGAAAGAGAGAGCAAGAGACAGACAGAGAGAGAGAGAGAGATAAAGAGACAGGCAGACAGACATACAGACAGAGATTGCAAGTTTGACTAAATGGTACAAATCAGATTCTCATATTTTGTAGAAAATTTTAAAAAAAGAATAGATTTAATGTCCTCCCTGTATGCCAATGCTGATATGGACAATGTTGTTGTGCAATGTGTATGACGTGTTCCTCTCAGCTTGGTCTGTATCACGGTGTCATGAACACAACTGAACTGTATTTTCTAACAGCTAGTTTACTGTAGTGATAAATGAACAAGGAAAAATGTAAAGTTATGAAGTGTAATTATGCCTTCACAAGGCTACATCAACATGTATTCTTATGTGGTTCAAATTGAACTTGTGGTCAAAACTTGGTGACTCATGGACTTACTTTGACTGCCTGGATCTCCTCTATGAAGGTTTTTATATCCACATAAAGCAAAACCAAGCAGATACCAGCAAATGAGTAAAGTGATACCGAAAGGAAACTTCATGAAGGGTACTGAAGAGGAGAGTTGACGCATTTTCATTATAAGCAAGAACAGAATTATTTACAAATTTCTTGAATGCATTCCCAGCACTAAGTCTGAGCAGGAAAATGTATGGAATAATCAGTCTTTGTTTTAGGAGGACATATTTTGACTTCGGAAGTTTTCATGATTAAATATTGAGTATTGCACTCAGATGCTTGGCGTTCAGAAAAAGATTTGGGTTTGTTTCTGAATTCTAATTATAGCTTTTGGCTTTCTGATGAACTACGAAGGAAAACCATCTTGGTTTCCAGAGCTAATTGTGCTCTGTTCATTTTGAGTAAGTTCCATAGGAGAGGTCCTCATTTCTCTTACACATCTCATCATAACTGAAACATTATTTTCAGCCTTGTATTGTATTGATGTTGTTTTGGTGGTTGGTCTGTTGTTCAATTCTTTATATTTTGCTCCTGATTTTGCATTGTCTGCATTGATTGTAGATTGTACCCAGAAGTCTTGTTCAGGTCCGATGTTTTGTGTGCGTGAATACTTCCATACTTGAGGACTTCAGTCAGTGCTTTACTTCCTAGTGGTCTGCTTACAGTGATTTGTGTTTCTTCTCCCTTCACATTCATTGAAATGACACTTCTTTTTAACTGTGTTGAAAAGTTCATGAAGTTCTGTATTATTCTTCTCAACACAAATTGCGCATGATATTTACACCCATTTTAGCATTTTTTGACTCTTACATCTTTCAGAACTCGTGTGGCTTGTGGTTGTTTGAACCCCAGGCATTGATACTCATCACTTTAAAAATCGAGCAATATTTGTGGTACTGCAAGCCTTGTAGCTGTAGATACCTTATTTGATGCCTTACACAATTTGTTTGTAATTATTTGTCTCTCTTCTGTGATAGACCGTCTTTAAAGTTATATTGAATATTTCACTCGTATATGAAAACGTTTTAAAATTATGTGCTTGATTTAGTTCCAGGTTTCACACAGTATACAATTAAACTTTCCAAGAAAATGAATATGCAAAATCACAGTATTAGAAGGGCTGCACTTTTTCTCTTTTGTCAAATTCCATTGTGTTACACATCGGATGTTGCTTCTATGCAACAGCCCGTCAGTCTTCAGCTAGTTTGTGGCGAAACGTTTTCATTTATTGGGGGTTTCTGCCATAAATTAAGCTCTCTTTCTTAAAACGAATTCATTGGCTAACTGTGGATTCTTCTTTGAATGAAGGATTAGAAGTACCTGAAACCAAATATATACTTTTGTTTTCCCATAATTATTCTTATTCAAAGTGGGTGTTATATTCATCAGAGATATTTCCACTCACGATCCCCCTACACTTGAATCGACTTTCGCCTGTCACCGAAGGAAGAATTTCATTATGAACTGTATGTCGAAGCTTTCCGCTGGAATAGTTTTAATATACCTGCTGCATAATGTTGTTTGGAGTAGGCATAGAAGTTATATTATTTTCCCTTCGTGCCTGAAATATTCATGTCTTTGTCTTACTTGCAACTTGTGTGTTAGAAACATTCGCTCAAAGTTGATTAAGTTCTGTCAAAAGACAATTTCCTCTGTTGGCTCCAAGATTCAAGTGGATCAAGAATTTTGTTGCTTGTCAAGGGGGAGTCAGGTAGATCTCACACACTTCTGTGGACTTGTCTGAGAGCGTGAGGTTATTGACGCCTCACTGAGCTGACCAGTGATTGCCAACCATCAAAATTTAGCCTCTCTTTAATTGATTGTACTTTAGCACTATATTTTAAAGGGGAAAATCAACTGAATTAAGAGAAAAAGAATGACATTTTTAAGTATTTGATTGCGATGTTCAGAGGAGTATGACTTCTACCATCTGGTTGGTCAGCTAGATAAGCATGGCTAAAAGATAATGCCGTGAGTGTTGATAAAACAATATCAAAATATTCAAAGTCAGCCTTTCATTCAGGAATTATTCACAACACTAGCAATATTGTTTAGACTTTTTTTTCCTTCCTCTTCCATTCGTGCCCTTCATTTTTCACTAGGTCATTCTGACTGTAATGCCTGTCAACCTCAGTGAATGTGAAACTGACCATAACGATATGGGTTTTCATTCAATGAATTGATTTCAAATTTTAAAGATGTCTTTTTAAACTGTTAAGTGTCTCCGAGTTACAAGATGAGCAAAGTTGTCAATTTGAGAGATTTAATGTTGTTGTTTTTTCTTTTATAAATTATAGTTTGCAGAATCAGGAATCTCTGAGCACTTCAGTTAGAGCTGGGTGTCAAATGCTGTAAATCTCTTCATGGCTATAATGTTTTAATTTTTAATGATTTTTTGCAAGTGACACCCCTCACCCATTAAACTAACTCCTTAGCCCCTTTTCCCCACCGGATTGTACATAAACTTCATGAAATGACCTCTGAAGATGTTTTGTCTTTTCATCCATGGTTGCCACTCAGTGCTCCACTTGATCAAATCTTCTGAAATCAAATCCATTATGTAATTCTGCTGGTAAGTTGCATTCAGGCGAGTCAAACGTTGATTCACCTTCAAACCTCACAGCAGAGCAATTGACTAGATTTATGTTTCTGGTGCTTTAAAAAAGACTGTTATAGAGGTGAAATGAGCTTAACCTGAGAGCTCAGGATAATGTTTCAGTCTTCTCATCACTCTCTCTCTCTTTCTTTCTATTTTTCTGTATCGGTCCCTCTCTTTCTCTCTTTCCCACTCTCTTTCCCACTCTCTCTCTCTCTCCTTCTCTCTCTCTCTCTCTCTCTCTCTCTCTCTCTCCTTCTCTCTCTCTCTCTCTCTTTCTCTCTCTCTCTCTCTCTCTCTCTCTCTCCTTCTCTCTCTCTCTCTCTCTCTTTCTCTCTCTCTCTCTCTCTCTCTCTCTCTCTCTCTCTCTCTCTCTCCCCCCCCCCCTCCTCTTTCTCTCTGGTGGATGATGGATTTGTACAAGGATATGTTACTGTTATGCACTCACTGCATTTCTTATCTTGTACTTGTACATGACATAAATTACATGTGCATTCTTTGCGCCTTGCTTTGTTGAGATATTTGAGGAATCTATTCATACTTGTATTAGGGAAAATTCCCAGCACATTAATTAGGGGATATTACATAATGACGATTGGCTGTCTCATTTCAATGTCAGAAGTGAACAATGACCAATCATTGCCATTCAGAATAAACAATTACAGAGCTTTGAAAACAAATCATCAAATGTAATCATGAGAGAAAGAGTGACAGAAAGCTTAGCATGTAGGAGCTAGAAGTCGAGATGGTCTCAGCTTGAAAAGATTTTAGTATGCTATTTTAAAGTGCCTTTGTCTGGTTCTGTTATAGACAGAAAGATAGAGAGAGACAGAAAGAGAGACAGACAGACAGAGAGAGAGAGAGACAGAAAGAGAGAGAGAGAGAGGCAGATAGAGAGAGAGATGGAGGGGAAATAGAGAGGAGGTCATTGTTATTCTAATGACCATAAATGTACAGATA